TAGTCGTAGTCGCTCGATAAGAATTGACCAATCGCAGTCGATTATTCTTACGACTACGACCATTGTAGACAGAACCGAGAATCATTGTAGCGGAGGCTTTAGGCTGGGTCTACAATGAGAGTCGCAGAGTCGCAGTCGTAAGAATAATCGACTGCGATTGGTCAATTTCGTCAGACACATAAGAATTGACCAATCATAGTCGACTATTCTTACGACTACGACTGTACGACTTCTATGTAGACGAGGCTTTAGGGTCAGAGCACAAGGCAACATAATAGCTTACGTCGTATTATAACGCACAAGCTTTGGCGCAAAAGTAACGTCATATGTAATTAGAGGTAAGCACGGCATACGCCAAAGCATGTGCGCTATCTACGTTTATGCTTACGTCTTTGTCGTAAGCTACTAAGTCTCGCCTACACGACAAGACGTAAGGGCCGTGGCACACAAACGGCCTTAAGCAATAAGACGTAAGCAGTAAACGGGCTATCATTGAAACTCAACAGAGCAGGTACGGTTTTTTCGTTTTGTTTCTTCGTCAAAGTATTTCGATGTTTTTGCCCCGCGCGCGCGCCGCTCGGCAGTTGTTTACGTCGAGCCGCCGCGCGCCGAGGTCAGAGAACATTCCGTGCGTCGCATTGTCAGTCGAACCGCCGGCACGAGTGCCACGGGACGGTGTGCGCGATCGTTCTCCGCGTAATTAAACGACGCCACGACCGCCCGATCGAGCTCTTCGATCCCGCACGTATCGCGGGACATCGTCTTCGTTTCTCGGAGCGTGCACCTAACTCGATACACGGAAAGCGGACCGCGCCGAGTCGCCGTCTACCGTTCGCGCTTGCTGTTCCTTCGACGCGTACAGTGAATATAGAGGTGAAAACCGTGAGTGCCGATTTCTCATCTACATGTGAATTGACGCGTTTATCTGAGCGAACGATGTACGAAACGAGAAGCGTTATACGATCGTCGCTCGTCGTTGACTCGACTCGGGTGGTACGCGTGTGTTACCGCGCAGTGCCGCCCGCGCAGTGCCGCCGGGAAGCGACGCCATGTTGATCCAAGCTCCGCGGACACGCAGTGGATCGTTCTCCCGCACCGACGGTCACCACGCATTTCACGAAGGCACGCACGACGGCGGTGAGTTTGATCAAGTGAGCAATCGCGTTGATTTCGTACTCGTGCGTCGACGATCCGCCGAGACGCGTATTTCGCGAGGAGCCGGGGTCTTCTGAAGCGTCGCGCCGTCGTATCCTCGCGCGACGCGAATATACCGAGGTTCAATTTCAGCTACGTGTCTCCTCGCGCGCGTAGAACTTCACGCGTGACGCGCAGCGAGAGAAATGTTCGTGCGAAATGCCCACGTTTACGCCCGCACGCGGCCTCTTTTCACGCGTGAGGTTAGCCCCGCGGTTCTTTTCGCCGAAACGTTCCCGCCAATTTGCGCGATCGCGTCTCTTGCTCTCGTCGCGACAGACTCCGCGACGAATGACGCCGGGAGTGACGTGACGCGATCGTAATTATCTCCTCTTTCGCGAGTGTTGTGTCGTGCCAGTGCGAAATGGAGAAATCTGAGGGTGCTTTCACATGGAGCTAGTAAGTTGCGTAGCGTAACCTGCGTATCACCAATCACAGGGTCATGCTGATAGAACCGTTTCAATAATTCCGTTGAACTAGTCCTGTGATTGGCGATACGCAGGTTACGCTACGCAACTTACGCTCCATGTGAAAGCACCCTGAGAGGAGGCGGCGGCCTACCCAGAAATGATTCGTCCATTGACGCCGAAACGCCCTGGTGAAAATAGAATTTGGAGCGTAAATCGAATGTAAGGGGAGAGTGACAGAAGCGCAAACGAAATGTAGGAAGCGTAATTTGGAACAGCAAAGCGTAAAAGAAGCGTTGAAGTTTCTTTTACGCTTCGCTGTTCCAAATTACGCTTCCCACACTTTTCGTTTACGCTTCTATCACTCTCCCCTTACATTCGATTTACCCTCCAATTTTTATTTTCACCAGGGCGACGTCGAATCGACATCGACACCGTCGAATTGACATCGATTCGACATCATCGACGTCGATCGACGAATCATTTCTCACAGGGTGGGAGGCATCAGGCGACCGCGGAATAATCCTCTGGTGAATATAATTGTCTATACATTATTCTCATGTTAACTCCATTTCACAGATTGCTTTATTCTCCTTTTCGTTTACTTGATTCGCCCGTTCGAACGACTCACACCGGCCGAAACATTTGTGCGTACGGAATAGAAAAGGAAATTCTTGTCTGTTCTACGAAAATTTACGTTCGCGGAAGATGTCTTTCCGGAAATTATATAATCCTTATTTATATTCACGGTAGTTGAAATGTACCGCGAATAATGGTGTTCGCGTGTATTTCGTGTAAAATTATCAGGTTTTTTTTCTTAATGTTGCGTTATTCAAGTATATTAATTTGGATTTTGCATTTGTGCGTTGCAGGTCGTCGTGGCGTCGCAATTTTACTCCTGTGGTGCTGTTCGTCGTACCGGTGAGTGAGAAGTTAAGTTTATCTTCTAAATCGAAGTAATGAATCCATGAAAGCTATACAAAAATCAGGGAATAAACGAATTAATGTGAACGCCTGGGAAAAATAGACTGTTTTATCAATATTCTTATTAATAAAATAAACTGTGCACATAGAGAAAGTGATTTCTTTGGATTTAATAAATTTTGTTGTATCCAAACAAATTTGATATTTGGAATATATTAAATATTAAGAACGTACATTACAAATGTATCATATATCATAGATTCATTACTTTCACCGAGAACAATATCTTGGCCTATCTAATCGGATAATTCAATTACATATTACACAGAGAGAACGATTTATTTGAATTTAATAAATTTTATTGTATCCGAACAATTTTGATATTTGGAATGGTCGAAATAAATCGCGATGTTTGAATTAATAAGTACAATTGTTTTTGAATTTGAAATAATATATGTATATCATTGTCAGAAATAAAATATATGTTTGAAACAAAAGGAATATTCTCTTTAATCTAAACGATATTGTCGTTTCATTCAAACAACATTATCGTTTGATAGAAAATATGTAAAAAAATGTATATGCATACATCTTTTTCCCTCTACATTAGAATTTTTCCTTCATTAGAAGAAGAAAGATAAACACTGAATTAGTACACTGTGTTTAGCCATAATAAAGAATAGACCATTAAATAATTAAACTGCGTCTGCTGATGCGGTCGCTTATATACCTGACTGCCGCGATTTTTATACTTACGAGTTCGGCGGCTATCTAGTGGTAGCACCAAACTTTCTAAGCGCCTGGCTAAATAATATAATTATTTAATTGAAAGATATTATTTCAAATAATAGTATTTTTTCTATAAAAAAATACAGGTTGTTCGAATAAAACAATAAAATTTATATTCAAAACATATAATGTTTCGTATAAGCATATGTTGTTTTAATGAAACAAATTTCAATCAAATAAATAGGAATATTAAATCCAAAGAAACCTTTCTCTCTGTGTAACAAACTTATATGTATATTCGATTAGATTGCCTGATGAAAAATTGATCGAATTTTTGTATTAAATTTTTATCAGTAAGTGCAATTTTATTAGACAAATTCAATCGAGTATATCCATAATTTAATCCGCAAACTTAATCAGAAAACCCGATGGTTAATTTTCCATCGAAAACACTATTTATCAATTTAACCAATGGAAATTTTTCTCAGTATTAAAATAGATGGAACTGGAATCAGACATATCGATTTATTACTCGTCTATGGCACGCCGTTTTGTTATTTAATAATATTTATCATAAAAATTCTGTATTTATGAATAAAAAACGGAAGAGAGACATAATTTATCTAATTGAGTGAGGCTTATTGTCGCCAGTGGTAGCTTAACACGAGGAAGTTTCTTCAAAAAATTCAACCAAACTGGCATAAAGATATATATTTAAATCACAACGTTTCGACCTCTTATCAAGTCCTTTTCAAGTACAATCTAATGTTGACTGAACAATTTAATTTTATGCCGAAACAGGATGAGTACATGAGTTTGTGACAGCAAATTCATATCGTCAAATGTGTCT